CCGGTCATTTCCTTTTATTCAGAATGAATTTAAAATCTATTTAAGTGCCTCTGTAAAGCAATTAAGTGGGCAAGAATTTAGTTATGTTTTTAGCTAATTATAGCTATTGTTGCCTCCATTCTGAGAGAAAAGTCGCTTGAACAGCTTGGTCTCGCACTCTGCACAGGACGTCTGAAATGAGGTTGATCTGTTTTTGGACTTGTGGCCACCAAGTTTCTGGGCCTAGGCTTTGAAAACCTGCCGAAACGTTGGGAGAAAATCATAGATTTGGGTGGTATTTACTATCCGCACTCAGATATTTTTATAATACTAAATATAATTAAAAGATCATATGCATTATTGACTGACAGTAGCCAGCTATCATATTTCTAATTTCATTTTGCAACATCTATCTGTACGTTTATTACTTGTGTGTGGGGGGGATTTATTTCACTTGTCAGATAGTAACATCAGAACTAAGCCCACGAAATTCATCGGGGCAAGGAGGACAAGACTGTGCCTGCCGTTGGCTTTGAGCACCATACAGGTGACAGTACGACTTTGCTCAGTTCCCCCCCCCCCAATTTTGATGAAAAGCAGCCCGGGGTGGTCAGAGAGTCTGCCACCCCTCTTCCCTTATCACCAACCTCTCGACAGGCCTTTCGGCTCGCCGCATATTTAGAGTGTCCCCATGCCGCACAGACACTATACATTTACAAATATCTATACCTTTTCCGAGATTCGAATCTGGGCCCTTCCGCACAACAGCCAGCGTCGCTAACCACTATCCTGGTTGGGCGACCGTTTATTACTTTTAAGAAAATAATGTACGTACAGTATTTCCTGATTATTTCATTTTCTAGTTATGATTTTACAAAAATGGATTTTCCTGCTTGTGTGCATGATTTGTCTGAACTTGTCTATTAGAATTTCAAGAAATTTTAATTAATAGTGTAAACACTATATCTGTATTAAATGGTCAACTATTATGCTTCTGACCTAAAACATTTTAGAGTATAATAAAATTTGAATTCATGAAAATTTCATCTCTCCACTTTTCTTTGTCTCAATTAAATTTATGATACTTATGTATGCAGTATTTTTTAAATATATAATTGTGTATACTTAAAAGGTTCAATTTATGAAGCATTTTTATAATTCATTATTAAGAGAATAGTATGCATTAATATGATTTGATGGTAATTATATCTTTAAGATTTCGTATAATTTTTCTTCCTTGCATGCGTGATTTCCCCACAACCAACGGTCAGAAGTTAAAAAAGTTTCACCAACTGTTTACACCCCAAGTGAGTTTAACAAGAGCAACTACTACGACTCTCATCTAAAAGTTTTAGAAATTACCTTTAATTATGTTGAAAAATAATTTATTTCTGAGTTATGAAAACAAGAAAATGTATTATGGAAAAGTTATTTTCTATGAAAATATAATTCTTATTTTTAACGTACATCATTTTAATTGTATATTCATTATTTTTCTATTAAAAAAATAATAATAATATTTAAATTTAAAAAAATTAAAGAATACTCATTTATTTATATAATACCGTGCAGAATGCAATAATATTACACTATTACGTAGAGAATAATAATGTTATTTCATAAAAAATATTTTAACATTTGGAATATAAAATAAAAGTAACAAATGTATTATTAAGGATATCAAAGTAAGTGTGCAAATTTTCTGGCTCATAAACCAGTTCTAAACATATAGAACTTAAAAAGTGTCGTATTTTGTGGATATTTTGACATTTTAAAGATACCTAACTCCTTAAAATATTTATCATACGCGTTAACACATATATAACAATAAGTTATAACACATACATAATAATAAGTTGTAACACATATATAATAATATGTGTATATCATTTTGTTGAATTCTGTATTTGTGCAGTCAAGTAGCTTAAAATTTTGTTAATCAAATTAATAATCAAATTCGCTCTTCGAGTTATCGAAAAATAATCAAGATAATTTAGTGTTGGGTAGAACTGCCACTAAGCTATACAAACTACTATTACTCATCCAGCAATGAATGTGTCTTGTGCGCAAGTGCCACTAAACCATTTGGAAGTATGCCTCGTTAAAGGTCTGAAAAATTAATTCGAGTTCTTAATAATTATTCTTGCAATAAACTGAAAGTAATTAGTTTTGTTATGCAGATAGAAAATTCGGAAGTTTACAGAAATTCTAATAAATTTTAATAATTTCTTTCCATACAGAATGTCTTCTTATGATTCTAAAAAACGGTCTTAGCCACACTCTATTTTTGGTGTGAAATTATTTGCAGGAACAAAGACAAAGAAAAAGACATTAAATATGTCTTTTACTTTAGTAAAAGACATTAATATTTGTATATACATTAAGATTTAGTAAAAGACATGAAATGTGGAAGATGGGTTTTAGTAATGTATATGTTGCTAAACAATACATTACTAAAACCCATCTTCCCACCTTCCTAGCCACAGGAGATCCAAGATTGGCATCACCATGAGCTGTCATGTCAAGAAACAAATATGCAAATCGTAAATAATTTAAAGGAGAATTATCGAAGAAAAAGGCATAAAACTGGATTGCATAACTGAAGACAAGCTAGGAGAGTGACACTAGACGGGATGGTATGACTGAAGGCATTATGCGTCAATCAGGCACTAAAAGAGCGACTGGTGAGCCCCCAGGGATAAATAGTACCAACAAAAATAACAAGTACTTAACAAACTAATTTTATTCTTATTGTATTATTGTATTAAAGTTATTCTTATTGTATCTTTTGTAACTAATTATTGATTCGATTTTGTGCTAGATTAGCATTTTAAATATAATATAATAGTATAAAACATCAAAGTAATTGGCATAAAAAACCTGCCTCCTTAAGTCACACTTTAGGTGCTGTGAGTAAAGCTATTTTGTCAAAATTAAGGTAACAATCTTACAGACATTTATTTAATTGTGATATAGATGTAAGTATAAATTACAAAATTATTTAAAAAATATCTATTATTATACTAAATCGGAAGAGAAATATGCTAATGTAAAATTTACAGTTAGGCAAAAAATCAAACGTAGATTAGCAGAAATTTTGCCATATATGTCATAAATGTTTAAAACTATGTCAATGTAAAGTCGTTTTTTGATTAAATTTAAATAGCTGCTATTATAGTTATCTTAGAAGCAGTATAAAAATTTTCTCAGTTAGCATGCATATAAAGAAATGATTACAAATATACGTGCATTAAAAAAAAACCCCTGCAAATAAAAAATAAATAAATAAATAAATAAATAAAAAATAAAAAAAAGGGAACTTCATGCTAAAAGAGTAGCGCATTTTATCTACTATTTTTAAATTGAGTAAGTATCATTAAATTTTTTAATGGTTCAAAGTAAAGTGCATACAGCAGTAACATTGTCTCTTCCAAATTATAGCTATCTTTCACACGCAGCTCATTTTAAACGCTGGTTCAAAAACGCTAATTTTTAAGCTGTGAATTGCATCTCCGCGCTCAGTGTCAGCAGGTCCATGGTGTCAGCATGACTACGTCATCACTTCTCACTTTTTGCTTCAGGGGTAAAAGCTCTATGAGCTACTCCTTCTCTTCTAATTCCCGGGTGCGTATTGGCAGACCGCACATTGAGTTGAACAGTGTTAAACGAATGTCGCATACTGCGCATGCCCAGAAAACAATTTGGCGAAAATTACTATGTTGGCGCGATTTGAAAAGAAGATAAATACGGTATATGGTAGATGTATTGCCATCTAATTGTAAACAAATCTGGCGTTTAAATCTTCGTAGAGTATAATGTAAATTAATTACTGTGTTAAAATACTATTTTTTGCTGTACTGCTCAAACAACTAGAAAGCTGAAATTATTGCGAAGTAATGTGAAGCAGTGTTTACATTCAAAATGTGAAATATAATACTTATGAAATTCTGCACATTCCTTTGGAACTGTACAAATTTTCGTTCAGAAAGAGACTGAAATTTAGGATATATTAGTTGAAAATTTATTCATTATACTTTTAAGCAATAAAAACAATTCAGGATTTAACATACGTTCCATTCGTACATACATAAAGAAACTCTGAGGAATATAACAAGTGCTTGCAAATAACACTGAAGAAATTTTACAATTCCTTAATGCTAGTTATTAAATTCTTTGAAATGAGAAAATAAAAGCGCGAATATACTCTAACAAACTAAGCGAGATACTCCAGTTTACAATTACTGAATTATAACATGTAAACAAATTACATTTAAATAACGAATTATTACGAACATATGTTAACAAATATTAAATGCACTGTTATTGACAAATTAAAATGAAACATATATTAGAAAAATAAGCAAGCGCAATCGGTATGGACGTTAAAGTAACTAATAAGCAAAGTTCCACAACATTGCAATTTTAACCATCACTCGAACACACTCGACAGCCATGGAGATCACGAATAAGCTAACGTAGGGTTGCTTAGTCGCCAATATTTCTCCCCGCGCCAAAGGTACACCATCAAGCATGCGCAGTAAGCGAAATTCGCTTAACACTGTTCAACTCAATGTGCGGTCTGCCATTACGCACCCGGTGAAGCGTTGATGCTATTTGTGCTTGTGTTGAAAAGCAGCATCTGTTTTTCATAAACTATATATAAAAATACGCTGTTGAATTTCTTATCTGCTACGTTTTTCCTAGCTTATTTTGAAATTCTTTATTCTGTTGCATTAGTATTTAACTACGTTTACAAATTTGAAAATGCAGTATAGCATGGCTTTACGTTTAGATTACGGCTCATCATATTAGTACCTGTTGTTTTAATAGGAATAATTTAAATTTTACGGGATTTAGAGCCTTAGAAGTCTTTCTTACAGGTTTAAATTATGTCACATCGTAAAAACATTTTCAGCCATCTATATTGAATAGATGGTTCTAGTTATATCATTTTATTACTTTTTATACCATTCACTTAAATATTAGTATCATCTTATTTATGAAATTCAAAATATTCTTACCTGTTCACCACTTTGATTAGGGTTGTCTTTAATGCACTTTTCGAGCCCAAATCTTTCGTTTTGTTTTTGAAACTTGGTATCAATACACAAATCTGAAGCAACATTACGAATCTAAAATGAAAAGAGATAATTTTTTTTCAGCGTGTTCGAGATATGTATTCAAAGTCAGTCACGAAATTTGCCAATACATAGCGAAAATTCAGTTTTGAAGAAGCGAAAAGGTTTAAAAACATTATTTAGTGACAAGAATTATTTGTGAAAGAGAAACATTCAACAGAAATTGTCCAAAAATGAAATCTCGCTATATACATCTGAAATTACTGCTATATTCTATGCTCTCGATTTTATAACAAAGCAGTTGCGAGGAAATTTGATCATATACATCAACGCTTTTAGTGCTGTAAAATTCCTTTACCAAAGTAACGGAATCTAACCTGCTTTAGATTCCATTAGGGATAGTAAATCGCATGAGATGTAGTATAGTTATTTATGAATACTAAGCCATGCTTTTCACAAAATGTACTGTATCCTCTGTATCTGTGCAAAGGCACGGAGGATACAGTATACTTTGCTGTTAAGCATCAAGCCTTGGTGGTATTAAAGAAAACGAGTGTATAATTATCATTGCAAGAATGCGCATGGAAATGTTTAAGCACCAGTTCCCCTTTGAAATATCGAGATGAACAGAAAATTGTGCACTTTACGTTATAGAATTCCCTCCCACTCGGAAAAAAGACGATAGTTAAAATTTTTAGTGGTTCAGTTTGCCTTCTTTTAGCATAAAGAAACGATTAAGGAGAAATATCAAAAGAGATTCTGACAAATAGTTGAATGGCTTACGATATTTTATGCGCATTTTTGCATTCAATTAATTACTATTTCACTTGACGCTTACAAGGATTATCGTATTTATTCGCGTATTTTTTCCTTTTACCTTTAGCGCAAGGTTCTGAAAATTTTTTAAGTATTCGTGTAATTTTCCTGTTCCTCAAAATGCTCAGAAAGCGAATTTCCCTAAATTTTATAATGAATTTATCCATGTAGTGATTGTTTTCGTCTCATTAACTGATTTGCTCTTGCAGTTTGGGTGCATAAGCTCTGATTAACGAAGTGAAGAGCTTCAAGAAAACAGGGATATTCTCTTGAGGATTCTCAAAATCATTGCATAAAGTAAACCAGACTTAACAGATAAACTGGTATCACATCTGTAAGCTACCCTCAACAGCGAGTCGAAAGAAACATTTCTCAGAATTTCTATTTCCGTTATATTTGATATTACTGGTTGATTTATGCAAAAACCAATTCTTTGGAAAAATCGTACGAGCGACAAAGCTTCAAGTGAAACATTTTCTGTTCAATTTCGAAAAGTCCCTCTTAGCTAGCAGGGACACAGGTTTCTATGAGACATAGTTCGGCTAGGACCCCTGCAGTGGTAGGAGACGGACAAGTTAGTTTCTCGAAAAAGTTTCTTCTAGCCTTACTCATTAGCATTGTTAGATGTGACAATCCCATTACACACACGATGACAGCAGTGAAAATGGCGATGACTCGTAAACTGTAACAAATCACACAGTTTAAACAGCACTGAATAATTTGAGGTCTATGGGGTAGCTGTGGATAACAATAAGATCAGATGCGATTCATAATACAGGGAAGAAGAAATTAAAATATCTTATTAGATATTATAATGTTAGTGTTACTATGTGTTCTTGTTGGAATGTAGGTTGTTTTAAAATGAATAATATTGTCATAGTTACCAGTAGTTTATCCATGAATACCTTTCATTAGTCCAGTTCTTACTGTAACCGTGTCTTTCAGAAATTAAATTATTCGCATAATTTCCCCCTCTCGGTTTGTGTCTGATTAAATTAGTTAAAAAAAGGGGGGTAATGCTTGAGTAAATACGATTAAACCGTATTAAGCGAGAGAATGTTGTATATATCTATGATGAGTTATTAAAAATATTGTCTTGTAACAATTTGCGAACCCTTAAGTATATTTAAATCGAGAAGTTTATAAGCTGTAGTTTTATATAGCTGTAGAAAGACTCTACAAATTCTTTCGTTTTTATTGATTCATCGATGTATTCTAATGCATCAATGTTATTGAATTAATTACTAAATTCTTTTCAAACAGCGCGAACAAAAATCAGATAAAAGTGGACGTCGTAGAAAGTCTAACGCAATTTTATCATCAAGAAACGAAAAATGACTTGAACATTAAAATGATATTTCTATGACAAATGTAATTGGAACAATATTAAAACTGGAAGATTATTTTTTTCAAATATTGATGACACATGATATTTTTTAAAAATGAGCGTGGTAATTTAGATGAGATGACAGGAAAAATGGAAAACCTGTAGTACATAGGAATAAAATGCATAACGTGATGAACTTTCTCCGAGTCATTTCATCTTTACTTTTCATCATTCATGAATCTCGTTGATCGAGGAAATAAATATTTTTAAATAAAAATTTAAAATTCATTATTGAGGTATTAAAGAGGTAATCTTCTGAAGAAAGAATTGGAAGAATTGGTTAACGTATCAATGACCCTGCAATGACTTTACGCTTATTACATGTTTACGCTTCTCTTTAATGATTTAATTTTTATCTTAATTTATATGATTTTTGTTTTGTAATTATACCTCTTAAATTTTTGCCTTTTCAGTTGTCATTTCGATTTAACATTCTGCCCCCACCCCATGTGAATAGTCCACATTTTCTTTTTCTGCATAAATAGTATAATGACAAGTACTGCTCTTAAGGAAATTTTTTGATGAGTTTAGATATTTGATATTACTACCCTTATTTTTATACACCTGTGATACTCTTTAAATCGAAAATATGAGCATTGGAAGTTTTCCCCATATTATTACGTAAGCAGAAACCAATTTCTGCATCCCTTCCCTTAGGCGTAGATCTGCGACCCATTAACGGGCCTCTTTGTGATAGTTAATAACTAATAATTTCCCCTGATTTATAGAAAAATCTTTCCTATTGTTCAAAGGAAATCTTATTTTCTGAAACTGAATATGATCCATGTTAATATAATTTTGAAGTTTTTTTGCTTGGTAGAAGCGAATAGGCACAGACAAAAATTTAGTACCTATTTGAAATAAAATAGGTCAATTACGAGGGATTTAGGTTTCAAGAATTGTTCTACGCATATACTCCTTATACAACCAATCATCATTTGTTCAGCGGTGAAAGAATGGAAATATATAGTATTTTGTTTTATTTTTTAAAATATATTTTTCTCTTCAGAATATAGAATTCTGAAAATGTAAAATGCATAAAACTACTTTATAAAGCAGATGAATTTTCAATAGCGATTACGAATGAAACGAAAGAATTATACGAACGAAATTCATTAAACATTAAAATTTTTAAAAGGGAAATTTCTTGATAACAAATTTCAGTATGCATTCAATTTTTGATGTGTTATATAATAAATTATATTTTTAATTGAAAATTTACAATATGAAAGGTCCATAAGAAATACATAATATTCCTTATGCAGATAAAATATTTGATTCCTAATTATTCAAAAAATAATATCGTAAAATGTTGCTGTGGTTTTCGATTAATTTTTGATGGCTGTTAGTTTGAGAAATTCTGTGGTAGTGTATGGTTTGGTTTGGCCGTTTACTCCTAAACTGCTTAAGAATACAAGTGCTTTTAGTTTTCTTATATTCTTGTAATTATCATATATTTCGGTTCCATTAACAGTTGATTTGATACATGTTTCTAGAAATGCATCGATAAGATTAGAAATTATACTTAGAAATATATATTTTTTTGTTATAAAATAGTTTCTTAAATTCGGACAAATAGGCTACATGTTTTATTGGGATATTTATGAATTTCATATCTTGTTTGTAGTAAATTTTACTTTAAAAAAAGGCCGAACATACTTAAATTATTGCCAACATATTTTTGCTTAAAAATAATTAATAGAAAAATATTAATGAACTCAATGAAATTTAATTGCTGTCTCTTTTATACTATTTTAATAATTTCTTCATGAGATTCAAACTAATGATTTCATGAAATTTTCAACATGACATGGGGGAAAAAGGAATTAAGGAATGAGAGACAGTATTAAGTTCATTTTTATATCCATTAAATGCAATTGGCTTTTATGTTTTCTTAATTTTTGGTTTCCTTTTCAGATCATTCCTCAAAATATGCTTTCGAAATTGATACCTAAAGTGAAAGATTATGTTAAAAAGTAATAGTTCTCGAAAACAAAATCTTTACAATAGTTTAAATATTTTTAACAAGAAAATTACAAGTGTCTGCAAAATGCATAAAGAAATAAGACTACTAATTCAGAAGTCAAACAACAAAAATCAGCGTTATATTTACAAAACTTTCGCAGGACTAGTTTCGATGGTTTTACCGAACCACCATCCTCAGCTGCAAAACCGCAACTGCGAAAGTTTTGTAAATATAACACTGATTTTTGTTGTTTGACTTCTGAATTAGTATTTATTCGGCGTGTTATTGTGTCTTAAATAAGACTACTCTTATTTTTCAGTAACAACGGATTAAAACTTGAGAATTTTTACATTGGAAGGGGATCAGAAAAAGGGAGAAACTAAATATTTTAACAGGAAGTTTAGCTGAAATTAATTTTGTGACTAAATTAAAGATTTATAATTACAAAGATACATTTTCAACCGGCGCTTCAGCTTTCATTCAGACATAATAAATTATAGAGTGGAAGAGAGGGGGGGGGAGGTTACCATGCCATTCGATTTTAAAATCTTACTTTTATAAAAGAATTTTAAATACTTATTTTAAACCAGTCTATATGTATTTATATGAAATAATATTTCAGCTGGGATTCCTATCTAATGAATTTTATCGAAGCGTAGTATGATCTGGGATGTTATGAATTGTATTTGAAAACAGATCCGAAAAAGAATTTTTTTCTCCTTACGTTACACGTTTTTCCACATTAGAACATTCTTCTAGCTCGAAAAATAATTAAATAAATAATAATAATAAACTTAAGGGAGTAGTAGATTCTATTCCTGAGAATTTTCTCAAGCTGCTTATAACTTATTTTAATAGAATACAGGTTTAAAACTTATTAAGCAATAAATACACTTGATCGGTGTAATTAATGATTTCCGCGTACAGTTTTTGAAGCATTTAAATAGACAACCAAGGGAAGAGAGTTGAAAGATTCGAATGCACGATTACTTAGTGAAATTTATGAAAGGTACTAACCTCTCCTTTTGCGTAATCAGGAGGTTCAATAGGTGGATATTTTCTTGGTTGATCAAATGCAACATTTTCCATGAACCATTTAAATGATCTGCAGCCCAATCTCTTTCTCAGATTCTTTTGTTCGGTTAAGTTTCCAACATCAAAATTTCTGTAATGCGGTTTTCTCATGTATAGAAATTCTTTATACTCATCCATCCAAACCTCTGCCACTCGTTTGTAATTCTGCAATAAAAGAGTCAATAAAAATCTTCTCTATAATAAGACACTCTAAGAAAATGAATAAAATTCTTTCCCTTTCAGCTTCCACTATGTATGGCGATGTTTTTAATGCAGAATTATTATATAAATAGGATAAGGAGAAATGTTAGACAATGAAACAAATACCTACAATGGTTTTCTATTATATATCTTGCATTTGTTTAAAACTTTAATAATAGTAAAATGTGAACTTTTAAAAAAATTGATGTAATGCTTTAAATTAATGTCAACATAATATGATAATACCTGTCGGTGTAAAATGCATCTTTCAGAGAAGCTGATATATTATTTGGCAGGGTTCAAGCATCGAAAGTTTGAACATTTATTCGACATTTTGGACTTGCCATTAATTCTTGCCCACTTGAGAACATGAATGCTTGAGTTGAACGAAGCTTTTAAATAAACCTGAACTATTTGCCATTTTATGTATTCATATAAAGCTAACAGAAGAGAAGCACGCTAGTTCTTATTTATCCAGTCTATTTAAATGGTATATTTGTGAAAAAATAACGCAGGTTGCTTTTGAATTTTAAAATAGAGGACCTGGGTCAGATATCCTCAAACCTCAAAATACGCATACTTTTCAACAAAATAAAACATAAGTTTATGTTAAATTTTGTCTAATTTAAAAGTCAGCTGTATGTTTGGGAATTAGTCTCATCTAACTTTTCTTAGCAGTCACAAATTCTTCATTATGTATAATAGGTGAAGAACTGCCGCTGACTTTTATGCCACCACTATATTATATTACCTCCGGTTTTGTTTCTATCGATATCTATAATATAGAACTGATGGATGGATAACTCGTGCTCTAGATTTTCTTTAACTGCCAGCGGGTTATCTTATTTTTATTAAGAACGATTTTGATCAAACAACATAGTTAAATTCCATGCCAGAATTCCAGATTATGAAAAAAAAAAAAAAAAAAAAAAAAAAAAAAAGAGCTATTTTTAAACACAATTTTTGTTACTGTCACTTTCGTAAACAGTAACAGCTACAAAAGTAGGTTTTGAATAAAATAATTCAAACAAATCGGGTTTATTAGCACTTAAGCTAAAAATGGGATGACAAATGCGGCTAACTTATAAGGTATTGCTCCCGCCTTCTTGGCATGCCTTCCTGGTGTGGTGGTCTGCAGGCTGGGCGCGTATTCCAGAGGTCCGCGGTTCGACTCCTGGCGAAGGTGTGCTCATGTTTTCAAGTCTCCTGTTTCCAAAAATTCCTAGTGTCTCTACAGTGGCGCCCGAACTAAAAAGGTGTTGGACGATGATTCTCATCTCCCAGGATTTGGCGATTGGATCCCCTAAAAACCCCAGGCGCTCTTTAAAAGGGGGAGTATATAAGGTATTTCTTCCGCCTTCTTGGCATACCTTCGTGGTGTGGTGATCTGCACCGCTGGGCGCGTATTCCGGAGGTCCGCGGTTCGATTCCCGGCGAAGGTGTTGCTCATTTTTTAAGTCTTCTGCTTCCAAAAAATCCTAATGTCTCTACAAACTATGTTTTTATTGACCACTTAATATTCACAAGTATGCAGCAGTCAGTGAAAACGAGAATTCCATTCGATTGAATTGAATGAAAGAACACTCACTTGCAGTCGCAAATTCATTTGCTGTTTGAAATGGTAATTTATAGCTTTTACCTCGGGAAACCAGAGACTGTTGCAGTATGTTATATTAAATAAATACAGTACTTGCGCGAATTTTGGAAAATAACAATTATTGAATTTGTATGAGAAACTGTTTCAATATACTGATTTAATTAGAAATCAGTTCTTAAATTATACATTCCCATATAGATGCTACACATATAAATGTAAGAGAGCAAGGGATTCATATCTCTTTTAATATTTAGGTGCACTTAAAGAGTTTCTTTCAACATTTACTCTCATAGGCTTGTTTCAGCACGAAAGAGACATCCAATCTTCCTTAAGTTACTTTCGTGACCAAGAATAGTTCTTCTTTCCTTCTAACATGTTTTCTTGGAAGTGCCTCGTTTTGTTTCTGTTCTTTATGCCACTTTCTCTTCAGTAGCAATGGTCTACAACTTCGACTGATTTTACGGTAGACGACAAACATAAGTCGACACCGTTACCTTATCGTGGGAAAAGTCAACTGCTGCTTGGAACTTTCGTCGGAGGAAGCTCAAGATGAAACAAATAATAACAATAAAAGAAGCAATAGAAGTTTGTTTTGAAGTTACTTACTCTTCCGACAAAATCTCCTATTCCGGGATTTGGGAAAGGTGCAAATTTTCTATACACGTGACCCACTCTGGAGCAAGGAACGTCGAGCATCTGCCCTCCGCATTGCCAGATTTTAAACGAAAGTTCGTACTGTTCGCCTCCCCAAACGTCCAGTCCTTCGTCGTATCCACCAAGATCCCAGAAAAATAATCTGTCTATAGCAAATAATCCACCAGCCATTACAGGACTCCTAGAATAAAAATAACTAGTAACTGTATGTGAACAATCATTTGATTCAGAGTTTTAATATAAGGGTTGAAATCTTGATCACGCGAGTAAAATACATTATAATTATTTAGAAATTAATTATAAAAATTACTTGAAATGTTTTCAGTATGGGATAAGCATTCAACAGAACTAATTTCCAGAAATGTTAAACTTAAATTGTGATAAACCCGAAGCTGTGGTTTAAATATGCGTATTTTGCATTAATTCATAATGCTGGATTTTTTTTTAAAATTAAACTTCAAAATTTGTAAAAAATCGAGGCTAATGATACACCTAAATAATTCCTAAAAATGTTTTGATTGACATAAGCAATTCGAAATAATCTTAGAGTAGTTCGGATAATATATAATGTAATAGTAATATAGCGGAATGAAAGTGTAAAATGTTAATGTATCAGTTTCTATGAATTTAAAATGTAGCCAAAAAGAAGCAGTTCTACATAAAATTATTTTCAGCATCGAAATGAGTTTATGAACTGGGAATAAAAATTTTTGCGTAATACATTTGTTTAGTTAATATGGTTGAACTTCAAAATCAGGAAATTTTTTCAGTCTGTTAAACCGGAAATTAAAGAAGTTATTTTGTTTTATTTTTTGAAGGCTGTATTGTTCATTGAAATGGATTCAGTAAGTATCAACTTATCCTGAGAATTAGAAAATTAGTGACTCTTTTATAAGAGCAAACAAGTCAGTAATTACCTACAATGTAGCTGTAAATGTTATTTCAATAAAAATTGCAAACTTATATCAGCACCATTCTTCAGCATATTCCTCATTGCTTTAAAGCATACTTTTCCCATCATTGATCAAATTTTCTCATGCCCTCTGGAAAAAAAAAAAAAAAATCTTTTGGCTGAGCAGCAACCAGCAACTAGGCATGCACCTATGGCGGTCCCGGGGCTAGCTCGCGAACTCTGGTCTGTTGCTGTTTGCTCGTGTCAACAATCTATTAGCACTGATGGGTAGTGCGGCGCTACGAGGTCTGCGTGTCCTTAATAAGTGACTTTGGAGTTGGATTGTGGATTTGTTACGTAGCAATCAAACATCGTTACCGTTATCTCAGAAGTGCATCTGTGCGACAGGCTTTGATATTTAAACTGTTTCATGGTGTGAACTTCTCATTGACCGTCGGGATCGCTTTGCGCATTTCTTGGTCCTTTCGCGCATTTCTTGCTCCGAGATTAATCGACTGCCGTATATTGCGCCACTGAGATCATCCAAAACTGGTAATTTAAAAGGTCCATACCGAAACTATGCAGAGAATGAGTCATTTTACGTCAGCCTTAACTCCAAGATTTTCACAGGCATTGTCTTGCAACACCTCAACACTTTTTGATAATTGTCCTCGACGTTTGCATCGAATTGCTGGCTTTAACCTGTTACCAGGCGTCTCGGTGTAATAAATGCTGTTTATAGTTATTTTGATCTCTTAATAATGTTCCATTTCTGGGCCTCAAGGATCCCCCAAACTACAAGTGTTAGTGTTGTTACGGATGGTTGGTTTTCTGAAACGTTCTTGCTGGTTGTTTGTGGATGCTTTCGTTTCACACTCTGAGATTTGCTTGCTCTCCTGCAAACAATGATGCATTCCAGATTCTTCATGTTTTTGTCTAAGACAACGTTATCTTAATTATCAAAATTTTGTTGGCAGACATGCAAAGAGCGAATGTTTAATGCAACTGTAATCATGCGAAATCCAAGTATGTTGCGTATAATTTCTTACGCAAAAATATAATTAATTCTGAGAAGATTTACCACTTCATCAATAGTCACTCATCTATCAAACGAAATCATTCCATATAAATACACTCAGATTTGATGGGCTACCAGATGCTTCCTTAGGTGCAACTCTGGTCTAACTATTTTTGAACTTTTCAGTCTATTCATAGACACTCCATTGTAGTAAAATAATATTCCTATACTGAGTGGAAAGCCTTTAAGTGATTTTGGCATCAGATAACCTCTAGATAGAAAAGCTGGATACCTGAACATTCTTTTCCTTTGGTTCAAACAAAGAAAAGGAAAGCACCCATGATTAAGTAATGAAAAATGGCATTTCGCCAACAGAAACACAAGTAAAATATTTCGTATTTGCTTGAATAACATAACTGGATAAATTTTACAAAATTAAAAAAAAAAAAAAAAAAAAAAAAAAAAAAAAAACTTATTTTTATCAGGAAATGTGGAATGTTCAAGTACTAGTTACCAGAATAACACAAATATTTTATGAAAATTATATTTGAATACTAATGACAGTATGCGACTGTAAAACGAACCATATTGTATATTAAATTTTGAATAAGTATTATAGTACATTTAGAAATTTTTATAATGAAATAAGATGAACCCTAAATTAAAATGTGAGAAATATAAACAACAGAAAAGAACTAACACAAAGGAAATAAAAGCACTAGACTACACAAAATATACTCCATACATTAAATTTATAGCAGAGAGAGAAATACGTTTTCACCAAGGAAACCTTTAAAAATTTAAATTAGGGTATTCTTGCAATAGGTAATCTACCGGCCATGAACCATAGTGAAAACCAAAGAAACCGATAACATTACTATACTAAACCACACGAAAAACAGCAGCACATAAACAAATAAATACAAAGTAATTATACGTGTTTACGTTTATTACATTGCAATATTATTACATCAAATTATGCGATATTACCAGAGGAATGTAGTGATGTGGTCTTAAACAGAACCTATCATATCTCTCGATGGTCGGCATTATACTTTAAATACATTAAAAAAAAAATCTGATGTGTACACCACATGACTTCCTTGTACGGAATATTAAATTATACGCATTTTTTCTTGCATTTTGTTTAAACGTATTGGATTTATTAATCTACTTCTCCTACAGCGCATAACCACGATAAATAAGTGAATTCTTTAAAATTCACTTATTTGTTTACCTAGCGACACTCTGGCGTAGGTTCATTTACAGTATTATATTCGTTCATATTTAACTCAGAAGGCACAAAATTTGTATCATTTAAGAATTATCTAATCGTTGCCACATGTTCTATTCAAGTACTATAAAAGCTAGAAAGATGTATAAAAGAAATTAAGCAAACAAGACAAAAGAACAGTTTTTCAACAGACGATTGAGTATTTCTCATTCAATTAATTCAGTTCTCACTTCGCGACAAGGCAAAATACATAAAATCAAAATATCTCTACTAAAATTACTAATATTAAAAATTAAATTACTAATTATTAAATAAATTATAAAATAAGTAAATCTAACCACTTATTCCTCGAAAAAAATTCAAAAGGATTAAGCATGATTTAAATGGCAAAATAAAGGAAGGCGTTAATTTTTGTTGTTGCGAAGCTACGTTTCTCTAGATTGGCAACAAATTAACTACTCGCTGTTTCAAATGAACAAGCATGGCCGCCATCAAAATAGGCTAGCGGCCCTTAAACAACTTTTAATTGTGATATTCTAAAAATATTGCATACAGATTTACTAAAGGCATAAAACCCTTAACCGCAGATAAAAAACATAATTCAATCTTTAAAGAAAAAAAGTTCAATTTACAAAAATAAGAGTAAAAAACTGAGATCCTGAGCCGGGTAACAGTGGATATTTTATAAATATATTTAATACGTGGCGCGGCCGATTGAAACCAAAATACGAGTGCACATCTACATGTTATAGTGTCCTATATACAAAATTTCAACGTTCTGAGGCTACTCGTTTTTGAGTTGTGCGAGATACGTACGTACATCGTTCGTCAACGCCACGAAAAATTCTCTTCGGAATTCATTTTAAAGCAGTTTTGTTTATGGAGGAAAAGAGTCTTTTATTCTGTCCTTACGTACAGATATCACGCAAAAACATGTAAATTGCATTCAAAAGCGGTCAAAGTGGATATTTTCGTTGGAATATGCTGCCTGAAGCTTTTCGCGATTACAATACTTCCTTTTTACTTCGTACAAGGAAAGTAAAAAGAGTTCAAAGGGTCCTTTTTTGTCAGTTGCATTCCTGTTTAGCATTTGTCATAATCATAATGTTGCTACTCTAATCAGATATGAAGCAACACTTATAGCCATCTCTATTTTCCATTCAAGACAACTAATGTCTCTCATCATGGCCAGAAATTAGTCACCCTTGTTGGCAGATCGCTATTACAATTCAACAAGATGAGGGGGCAACATCGCAATTGTTGTTTCTCTCCTATTTTATACAATTATTTGTCTACGATGTTTCCATAGAGATAGTCTGTGGTCTGAGTGTTACTGATGATTTACCTCCAACTGGGTATATAACACGATTCAGACTCATAATAAAAGGCAAATACAGGATAACTCATCTATTTTTATACAGATAAGGCCCGGTAAGTCATCTATTGCTTGAATATCGAAAATGTGGGCCTAAAGTTTGAAATTCTCATAAAATTAAACATATTGCTTTTTTTCCCTCTGTATATAATCCATCTCTAAAATTTAACTCTCTAACTGATGCCGCTATCTTTGCTACTCTATCAAACAAGTTATCGTTGTCACAAAACTTAAGTCAAAGCATCCCTAATGAATAAGCAAAAAGATTACAGAAACTAAAATATTTACGTGTAACTACGTTTTAACAGTTATTTAAGCTCAAAATAACGATAACTTAAAAAGTACAATAATGATAACTTAAAAAATAGTAAAACTCAAGCTGCAAATAACTATACCTCTAACTCCCTGCTTTGAAAGGAATTACTACTCGTACTAACGCCCAAGAAATTTGGTTACACCGAAAAGGAAGTTCATGTCCGACAACTAGCCAATCACAAGGCTCTGAACGAATATCAGGTTCGACGCAGATCGCGGCTAAAGGTTATTCTCTAATTGCTCTTCTAAATCTACGTCTTTCTTACAATACGCTAATTTTCATATTGTTGGAATGAGTACTGCCATAAAAAAGCGCAATCTGATCTCCATATTCAGATTCCAAATTTACACTGAAATGGTTTTAAAATAAACTGTCACGACTGGCCGACTAATAATAATTCATCTCCAGAAGTCGAAAGTATGGAATATAAAATCTCATTTAAAACGAGCTGTTCAAAATAGCAATGCCCAACGATATAAAACATTGCTAGATATTACTATTTCGTCATAATTAACGTCGCGTGGAAAATTTTGCGTTTATTTAATAAAAATCAATTTGATCTTTCATGATACAAATATGCAGTTTTTTTCATTAAATCACATTCACCAGGTCTGTAATAAGTATTTCTTGCACCTGAAGGGGCAGCAATTTCTATTTTTACAAGAAACGAAATTCACATTATGAAAACAATAGCAGATGGCTTCAGATTTTAAGCGCAGAGAGAATCAAAATTAAAATAGTTTATAAGGTATTTTTCCCGCCTTCTTAGCATGCCTTCGTGGTGTAATATGGCTAGCACATTCGGCGCGTATTCGAGAGGTCCAAGGTTCGAGGTCCGGCGAGGGCATTGCTCATTTTCACATCTCTAACTTTCGAAATAACCTAATGGCTCTACAGATGCGCCCGAACTATAAAAAGGTGGTAGATGATGATTCTCCACCACCAGGATTGGGCGATTGGGTCCCCTAATCCCCAGTCGTCCTTTAAAAGGGGGAGTATATAAGGTATTTCTCCCGCCTTCTTAGCATGCGTTCGTGGTGTAATGGCCAGCACACTCGGCGCGTATTCGAGAGGTCCGAGGTTGAAGTCCCGGCGAGAGCACTGCTCGTTTTCACGTCTCCTGCTTCAAAATATTCCTAATGACTCTACAAGTTAATTGGAACTTAAAATAAAACCTTAAATTCTTTCAATTTATTTAGTTTAGTATTCTAATTATTACAAAAATAGCAAAAATTCGTTATTTTTCTTAATGATTCATTGATGAATGTCTCCATAAATGATTAAGAAAGGATTACGACTGTTCTGTAAATTCCGATCAATACAAAATTGTTAAAATAATAACACATGCAGAAGAAAATAAAGGCCAAAATACTTGAACGGCTCTGCTGGATGTTTGAGGTCCTCTGGCAGTAAAGGCAAACGTTTATAATAGAGCTCCCAATCAAATGCACCTCTTGCTCCTTCATCTTGTGCACGGTATGACAATGTCTCGAAGTCGATAACGTCGATGAAAGGGCATGTCACGGTCTTGCGATCGTTAGCAATAGGTTCTGAAAAAAGACAGTACGTTAAGTTTAATATATTTGGATTTCGGTCACAGCTGTTTCAATCAGGTATATTAATCTTTCATATGTCTTCTCAATATTAATTGCGTAGTAACTATCAGTCGCCGCAGTAATATTAATAATGTTGTCATCGCATTTGATTTGATGATTCAGAAACTGGGAATATGACACTTAGAGTAATATACTGTAACAGCTAACGCCTTCCCTTCGGCTACAGTAAAAGACTTTGTTTTCCATTCAAAGAATATACCAAGACGAAATACACAAATTAGGGGTTTATTGTTCATTTATTTTTTACTCGTTATTATTTTGTTGCGAACTTTTTCATATCCTAATTTTAAAATAAATTTTTTGGCCTTCCTAAGAAAGAGTGAAATTAAACCTTTCTAAAATTCATTAAAACGGAGAACAATAGTCTTTACAAGCAATTATAAACGCCATTTTAATAAGAAAAATTAAATCGAGCAAATCATTGTTTAAGATAGTAAATATTTCGCTTTCTTTGGTTTTGCGTGCTGGTCCATTTTGACGGTTAAAATGTCTTTAGCGGAAACTTCTGGATTTTTTTTCTGGAAAAATTTTCTGGACTATTACGTTATATTACATTGATATACCACGTGATATATTATCCATGGAAGTTGGCAGTTGTTGACATCAATGAGGGCCTAAAAAGAGTGATTTAAAAGCAAAAAACGCACATCTGAATAATTTAATTCTTTATTTTATTTTTTCAACGCTATATTTAACTGATATAATTTAAAATTCATTTAATTTATGGTCAAATATTTAATGCCATAATTTTATGTAAATTTGTTCTTATTACTTAATTTACGTTATATGTAAATTTAGTTTATTATCCATTGTAATACTCTATTTTTTAACCTATGCCGAATCTCGGCTTTTCAACATTAAACTATTATACTTATGGTCAGTTTTTTAAATTAATAATTGTGGACATTTGCACCATTACTGGTATTAGTAAAAAAATGTTTCTAACGCCATATATAACGTACTTCTGCAAATCATCCTTTGGTTTTTAGTTAATCTAATCTTTCGATTTAAGAGCCAAAAGAAGAATATTCGAAAATCAAGTTACCAATGAATGGTAATCGCATAAATTAGAAGCGATTCTAAGCATCCTTTAATTTTGTTTGGAACTGTCTATTATCGGTGTGTGAAATTATATCAGCGCTTAATACGCTTTGGAAGAATTTTGCTATTATTAATTATACAATATTTTTCTGCAAAAAATCTAATATACAGTTCGCGTTAACTCTATGATACGCCAAAAAAAAATCAAACCAATTTATATCTGGGAACTACCTTCTTAGTACTGTCTACCCACAGATAGCGAAATTTTAAGCTTACATCTACATAGGCTACTCCGATTCCTTTATTTGCCGAATAAGGTTGGTTTTGTGTCAGTCTTGCGGAAGATATTCTTCATGCAGTTATTTTCCTAAGTAGAGCATTAAGATATCATCCTTTAGGAAGAGCTCACCAGCGGCAGAACGGTAAAGTCGCTGAACACTGGCAGTTCGGTCCGAGGTTCGAATCCCGCGAACGGGCTGGCTGCACGGGTGTTTTCGTGGTTTTCCCCATGTGTAACGCGTATACGAGCCAGTTTCCCTTAGAAAGTCCTCCACGAAGGCATCTCTCCCCTTTAGGCTTTGCCATAATTAAATAAACCAAACCAAACCAAACCAGTGGCCGAACGGCAAAGCTCCTGAACACTGGTAGTTCTACCTGGGTTCGATTCCAGATGAACGAGCTGGCTAAATGGTCGTTTTCATGGTTTTCCCCCATGTATAATGTGGATGTCCTCTAAGAAGGCATCCCTTCCCTTAGAGATAGCCCTCTCGTGCTTTGCTGTAATCAAATAATAATCGATTTAAGAAACCGATGAATGATATCATTCCCCCTTCTTGATATAATTTCCATTAACCTTGATGCTATTGGTTGAATTAAGGATATGTTTATGAATATAATATTCCTTATTTCACTGGTAACTGAAACTTCTTTTTGATCTACGAGTTCGAATTTCCTGAAAATAAGTCCTGAGTACAAGCACGTAAATATTAAATTTCAGATTATTTTTATTATTTTGTTTTATGATTTAATCTCTATCTAATTTAGCATAACTTGAATATATAGTAGTTGTCCAAATATCAAAATTCATTAGTTAAGGTTAATTTCGACGGTCGTCGATGATAATGTGCAACAAGACTTACAAGAAAATAATAGTATTATATACAACAATTAATCATAGTACACTGTCATGTATTAATCGAAAAATAACATATTTGTTACGAACTTTGACAAAGTTTAAATACCTAAAGGCTTCTTTATCTAAGACATTTTGTTCACAGAGCCTTGTATTTTTAACTTTTAGAGTGTGTCTCAAGAATAATAAAATCCATAAATACACACATGGTCTGAATATTTTTTAGAAGCGTTTCACATCCAAAAAAACCTTCTGTTCTAGTTAATGATCCCAATTGCAATCCATCTTTACCTTCAGCCTTTAAAGAAATTTTGTTTTAGTTTTTCTTGTTTTATCAATAGATGACGCTAGTAGCTTAACTTCTGTTCGACTTTTCTTATCCTATCTCTATCCTTATATTATCTTTCTTCACCCTTTATTTGGTTCATTTGCAGCTGAAGAAGGTAGTTCAAAAACTATCCACACTAGTACTGCAAAAAATGTTTAAAAATTTACGCTGATTTCTTATATTGGACTTTGTTTTTGAATAAGACTCTTGCCTGATGTGTGCGACTTTTCTGTCACCCTGCATCTGACACATACGTTCTATAAATCAGCTATTAGTTTAAAAATTTTGCGAAGTTGCAATTGCATCATACACGTTAAAAATTGACTGCAGTTCATCTCTTTTAGCTTATCATGTTTTGTGACCGCTAAGCTCTTCCTCATTATTGGCAGAATGGATCCAGAGAATTTTGTGCGTTCGCATTGGAGCGTGTTTACATTATTATTTAGACAATAAATAAATAATGATAAAACAAAAAGCAACTAAATGAATAAAAATAAGAAAATGACTATAAACAATAAAATAAACAAATAAATATACATATGTACAAAATACTGATGAAGTAAAAGAAATCTTACAATTAAAACACACATCCATTTGGATTAATGACTTTAAAAACTAATAGCAAAAATGTCCATGATGACAAAAAGATTTAAAGTTGAATGAATCTGAGATCTTCATCTCCTCCGAATACGTAAACTTCATACAAGTACAAACACGTACTTAGGTACTGAAGCGATCAAAGAAATTCTAAAAGAAATGAAGGTATAAATCAATTACGGCAAAGGTAATAAATAACTACGATGTGATTTTATAAACAAAATTAGGAAACAAATTATTTATTTTTTCTATAAAGAGATTAATGTTGAAATTAGATACCGAAGCAAAACATATGCGTATAATTTTTGCAACATAAAATAAAATATTGTTTTACATCTCTTATTATTAGACAAGTTGCTATTATTGAACAGAATTATAAATTCTAAAAAAATTCTGTTATAAATGTCTACAAAGTTTCTTAAATTCTAGTATAAATTACGTATTGAATTATTAAAATGAAAGCTGTAAAACTGTTTACAGTATCCCATCTCTTGGAGTTAGTGAAGCTTTCTTTGTTTCTTCAGGGCTTCATTGATAATAATGTTGCCACAATTGCTGAAGATCACGCAAAATAATCAATGCATTTGAGTAAGTGTGTGAAATTTATCATGCTCACCAGCGTTGTTGGTAATTACATATAACTCCCGTTAATCACGCATAATCGCTCTTCTATCATACTTAGCGAAATGCATTCATGTGAGTTAGAGCGCTTGATAATCGTTCGATATTAGCAAAGAGAAATTCAAATATCTTTGAAATAAATTGTTTATTGCAGATAGTTAGACTGTCGCCATTATTAACTATTATATTCATATGACTTTTAAATTATTTATTTAAAGAGTCTATTAAATTATAGGTTTTATTTAAGAAATATGTTTTAAAACGGTGTAACAGATTAAAAAAAATATAGACCTACATCAATCGTTTTATTTTTTTCGCATAGTACAATACAAATCGAGTGAAAATTTTGTGCTAAAAGCTCTACGTATTCCTGTGAATAGTTTAATAATTTGACCTGTTGAGATGACCTGTAGATTCCTGTGAATAGTTCAATAATTTGACCTGTTGAGATGAACATTACGTTTTCGTGCTTTAATTTTATAATAAATAATTTAGGAAATTTTATCCCAAAGGCATATATTTGAAAAATATTTATTACTAAGACGACAAGCATAGTTAAAAATCAGTACTTTTCTAAAGAAATCAATTAAGAAGTAATTTCAAAGCGAATTATTCATCAGAATAAAGACACATTTTTATGACATATGAATAACGTGACTTCATTCATAATATATAGAATGTGCTTCAGCTTCAATAATCAATCTGCACTACATCGTGAAAAGAATTACTTGTCTAAACTGAGATAATGTATTCCCGTCTGAATTTTTCTTTCTGAAAAGAAGGTGTCATTAAATTCATATTAAGCTTTAAATTTAGAAATTAGAGAGAGAATTTCATAATATTAACAACAGTGTTAAAATTCCTTCTGTGCGCGAATCCAAGAACAAATGGCGAATTAATTTAATTATTTTATTAGATAGTATTTACAAGAATTTCAATTACATTTTAAAAGTTTCTTTGAATAATTTTCATAGCTCGGATGATTTCATCATACATTTCATTTGTTTTACGGTTGAAGTTCATCATAAGTTCGAAACCCAGAATGGCGTTATAGAAAGATGTTTGGACTGAATTTGAATCCAAAAATGAAACATGTTGATTTCATTATAATTTTCATAGATTTATGTTGTAACAGCTTTAATATCGTTATTAATCTCTCGTGCATTTGAAATAGATGAATAATAAATAATGTACAGATTACTGGCAATATTGAAATGCAGGCTCGAGAGCTGCATGCATTTTCTCGCACGAAGCATGTAATTATTTTTTTTTTAAATAAGTTTTTAGAATATGTTTTCTCTTCTTGTTTGTATGTCGCCATTTTTTTTAGTGTTAAATAAAAGTTATTGCTGTGTTCCATCATTGGAGTTGCTTCATTTCGCCAAAGAAGTATCACAGTCTTAATTATTTTGGAGGCACCGACCAAGATCGAATAATCGTGCGTATTTTTATTTCATTAGTTCATCACTGAACATAATATTAGTGATACCAGATTATTACTTCCTGTTAATATTCAATTGCTTTATTTTATTAGTTCATCACTGAACGCAATATTAGTGATACCAGGTTATTACTTTCTGTTGATTTTGAATTGCTTTATTTTATTAGTTCATCACTGAACGCAATATTAGTGATACCAGGTTATTACTTCTTGTTGATTTTGAATTGCTTTATTTTATTAGTTCATCACTGAACGCAATATTAGTGATACCAGGTTATTACTTCCTGTTGATTTTGAATTGCCTTATTTTATTAGTTCATCACTGAACGTAACTTCCTGTTGATATTGAACTGTCTTATTTTATTAGTTCATCACTGAACATAATATTAGTAATAACAGGTTATTACTTCCTGTTGATATTGAATTGCCTTATTTTATTAGTTCATCACTGAACGTAATATTAGTGATATCAGGTTATTACTTCCTGTTAACACTGAACTGCCTTATTTTATTAGTTTATCACTTTAAACTTAGTGATATCATTTTAATACCATTTCCACTAGAGCTCAAAGGAAAAGAAAAATAGTTGAAGAGCAGATCTTGGAACCGATGAAGGAAGAAAATAAAGCATCCAGAGATATATTTGAAGAAGAAGTTTAAATCACCAGGAATTGAAATGTGGAAGATGTTCACGTAAATTTCAAAAACGATAAAGAAATTAATATTGAGAATCATTTGCACAATGCAGCGTTAGCATCATCTTTTCGACTTTCGATTTAATATCAAAGCCGCTACTAATAGACGAAGAAAACAATTGTCGAATTTAAATGACAAATTGAATATTATCCGAAAGGCACAGATGAACTGAGGAAAGGCTTTGCTGTGAATTATAGCCGAGGAACTGGTCCACCATGGAAGAGATCTAGGCGCCGTCAAGAAAAAAAGAAGACTAATTTGAATACTGTCCATTTTATTCTTATTTAAATGTGGTGTAAAAATATTTGTTTAAAACTTTAAATTTTTGACCTGAAATTTGGAAACTTGAGAGAAGTTACCTTAGCTCTTTAAGCAAATGAGCAAGCCGAGCTTATTAAACTGTCAAATTTTACAGAACTTTTCCCTTCGGAAAAAGTCTCTCCGTTGGGGGAGAGGTTGTAACAGCTTTAATATCGTTATTAATCTCTCGTGCATTTGAAATAGATGAATAATAAATAATGTACAGCTTACTGGCAATATTGAAATGCAGGCTCGAGAGCTGCATGCATTTTCTCGCACGAAGCATGTAATTATTTTTTTTAAATAAGTTTTTAGAATATATTTTCTCTTCTTGTTTGTATGTCGCCATTTTTTTAGTGTTAAATAAAAGTTATTGCTGTGTTCCATCATTGGAGTTGCTTCATTTCGCCAAAGAAGTATCACAATGTGCGCATAACTCAAATGGAAACCGCTTAATATTCTACCTTTTAGCATATAGCCCATGCATTGTATGCGCCCACCAGTGGCTGAGCCTTAAAGTCGCTGAACACGGTTAGTTCAGTCCGAGGTTCGAATCCCACGAACGGGCTGACTGCATGAGTATTTTAGTGGTTTTTTCCCGTGTGTGACGTGTATACGAGCCAATTTCCCTTAAAAAGCCCTCTATGAAGGCATCCCTTCTCTTAGGCAGAAAACTCTCGAGGCTTTGCCGTAATCACATAAAAAAAATTGCATTGTGCAAAATTCGTGTGAAAATCATTGCATAGTAAATGTCATAGAAACTCTGTATCTAAGCATTTTGCAAATTTTGGCACGTTCTCTAATTGATCACGAATGTAAGATCAACTTATTACAACAAACAGAAAAACGCTCGAGAAATATTTTCTTTAAAACGAACCTTTTATAGAAGACTTTTATCCATGTTTGTTAAAATGTGAACGAAAAAGAAAATTAAGTCTCATTTCAATTTATAATAACAAATTATTTAATATAAGATGATAAACATTTAGTACTCTTACCGAGCAGGGGTGGCAACCAGTTAACATTGGCTTCTGTGTGCGAATCCAGGAATAAGAGAACTTCGCCTTTCGATGCTTTGGCACCAAGTAATCTTGCACGGATTAATCCTTCCCTTTTTTCAGCCCGAATGATTCGAACATTTGAAAAATGCTGCTTGATGTATTGATCTAGTGGTGTTTTTAATTGCGCTGTAACGAGAAAAGAAAGAGTGAGATAAGGATGCAGCTGATTTTTTTTCAACCATCTAATTAGATCTAGTATTCCATCAATTCCCAGATAAACACAATAAATAAAATTTATGTCATAACGTATAAAACTTTTGCCCCATTTTCTACTATCAGAACGAAATATACAAATTTTATCCACTATACAATTTTTATGCATTTTATAGTAACATATATTTATATTCTTTGTCTGAATTTGAAATTTTTCTAATTTACGAGATTATTACCAGATAAACATATTTATTCTCTACCAGTGCATTGTTAAAGAATCGCAAGTGGCTTTACTATTACGCGTTGGCTTAGTATCCGGATTTTCTAAATTTGGCATTCGGCCGTGGCCTTTGGTCCAGGCCGTGGAGGTAAGAAACTTCCTACCTCCATGGTCCAGGCAGCCTGCGAACAGTATGTATTAGTAGATGCCTTCCGGCAGAAAAACCGGCCTGTGTGCTATAGTAACCGCACGTCATCAGATGGAGCAACGCTCAAGTTGTTTCACGACGGGACGGGGAAGCAATACTTCTTCCACATAGACATCTAGAAGACACTAATGAAATACACGCGAGTAAAGTAATGAGAATAACGTACAGTAATGAGTAATGAGTGACTCTTGTAAGTAATGAGTGACTCTTGCACTCGTAAGTAATGAGTGACTCCTGTACTCGTAAATAATGAGTGACTCTTGAACTCGTAAGTAATGAGTGACTCTTGTTCTCGTAAGTAATAAGTGACTTTTGTACTCGTAAGTAATGAGTGACTCTTGTACTCGTAAGTAATGAGTGACTCTTGTAAAGTAATTCTCGTTACTTTACATGACGTAAAGTAATGAGAATAATTGTTTCTCATTACTTTACGTCATTTTACTTTGAAACTTAAGGTCACAGCGATTAACAGGACCCTATTCATACTAAAACACCTTCGGTCAGCATCAGATTGAGTATCAATTCCTGCGACAGGTAACTGTGCTTTGTTTGATATGTAAACCCTTTGCTGCCGTGTTCGGCATAATGATAAGGTATCCGGTTGTCATAGCATTGTGCGAGAGTACGAATTCCGGATAAAATATAATGTTTGTAAATGTATAGTACCTCTGCGCCATGGGAGCACTTAAAAAATACCACCGAGCCGACAATACCTCCGAGAGGCTGATTGCAGGAAAAGAAGGCAAAAGACTCTTGGGTCCGTCTCCTGGGCTGTTCTCTATCAAAACTAGACAAACTGGTACTGTCACTTGTAAAGTGCCCCAAAACTTCGTCAACGACAGGCAAAACTCTTTTCCTTTTGGCCACGGTGAATTCGTGACCTGATGTAGACCATGCTTAACTCAAGAGCATAAGCCATAATAACAACAGTTTTTTTAACGTGCAAGCATAATGCAGATTAGGATTATTAGGATTATTAGGATATTCAATTATGGTAAAGCACACAAGGTAAGCATAATGCACTGTATACTTTAAAAGAAAAAAAATTATAACTTTAGGTATTAATACTAAGCCTTTCAAAAGTGTGTCACTTTTATTATAATTTTACAAACTTTATGTATGCATTATGGATATATAAATATTACTTTTAAACGTATTTCCCTCATTTTAGTTCTTTTATGTAACGCTAAATGCCTTTTTTTAGAGTATTTATTCAGAAACGTTCGAAGAAGAACTGTTAAGAAAACGCCATATGTCAGTGATACTCTGTTCACAGCTTAATGGCCGAGTGTCTAGAATTACCGACCATTGATGGCCAAGGGTATAGAATTAGGAGCAAAAAATTGTGAAGTTTCAGTAAAGAATTTGAATGGGAACGTTCTTTGAATGTAGCATGGTTGGAGGACTAGCCCCGATTATCGGGCTTTTCCCTGTGGGTCGTCTTAAAAAGGGGGGGGAAGAAGTAAATATGTAATCATAATAAAAGACTGCTGTGCCCTGTTACTTCTGTATGATCCTTGTTAAGTACCCAATGACAATTATGCACCCTATAATTGCGTATAAATGCATTATTTTTAAAATACTATAAAATTAATTGCATCAATTATCCTCAACGGCACTCTATAATGTACCATCTGCTCATGTATATAAATGTGCCATGTACCTATTGATTATGAAATCGAATGATATAAGCATTGTAAATAGGTATAGCATTGTAAATAGGAAAACAGTATAGCATTGTAAATAGGAAGCTGTACCCATGCACCCGCATACATTTCTATGTAACGTGACACAGTAAGGCAAAATATCAACGTAGTGTCCTATTATGAAATTAAATAAGCACCTATTACTAGTTATAACATTATTTTATGGATCTAGAGTTTCAATATATGAAGTAAGTACGAAATGTTTATGTCACCAATGACTATTGTGTACCAAAATATAAGCGTATATACGCTTTTGTCTATATGTAATTGTGTATGTCTTTGTTTATATGTAATTGTACCCATGTATCTACTAGTGTTATCACATATCTTGGCACTGTATAGTTAATATACATCTATTACGCACGGAATAATCATGTACCTAATGTGTCTGTATATATGTATATGAATTTATGTTCTGTATCTATGATAATGTAACTATGCATCTGCACATTTTATCCTGTAACACGGCACCGTATCGCAAAGAACTAACTAGAGCCCCACTCTAAAATTAATTGCACCAAAGACACTGTACTACACAGTACTAATCTAGGGTCTAACTTTTAATTCACTGTACTAATTACTTATTCCAGCATAACATTGCGCACCTAATATTTCAGTATGTACATGTCTTCTGTAATCTAATGATAATGCTTCAAAGGGTCATAGTGTACTCAACATATGAGTACACACGTTATGTATATATGCTATCGTATCCATGCTTTTGCATACACGTTGTAACATGGCAATGTATTATCCAGTGTCTAACATTAATTAGCTTTAACGCCACTGTATGAAGTACCAAATTTGTATGTATGTTTATATATTAGTATATTAGCACAATGAACACGTATGGTTATCTAGATAAAGGTGGACGTGGCGCTATATCGATTAACCGTATTGGTAGAGGGGTGGTGCCCACGTCCTCCGTCGCATGTCGCATGTATGATCCTTGTAACAAAAGTCCTGTCATCTCTGGCTTATTATATTGCTGCTTCCTAGCATGAGAGCTCCGCTCCAACCCGCCCAAAAATAACTATTTAAAAGAACATCTTTTGTAAACATGTAATCTATACGCTTTCTAATAATCAAAGAATATTGGCATATGGCTCTTTTACCTCTTGAGCAGAAAAGATTTTTGACTTTTATTCGTCTTCTAAAAAAGTATAATTCTCGCAGATTAACCTCCTGTTCTTTTTAAACAAATGATTATCTAATTCATTGCAGAAAGAATGAGAAAGGGGGAGGGAAAATTTGTAAAATTTCGATCTTATTTGTGATTACAACTTTCTCATTTTAAAATATTAATATTTTAAAATTCGTTTTAAAATATTAATATTTTTAAAATTATTTATTACTAAATTTAAAATATTAATATTCGTTTTATTAATATATTAAAATTCGTTTTTACGAATGGTAGTTAGATCTTATCATCATGAATATCATTTTTTAAGGTGGCCACTCCTAGCAGAGGATCAAAACCACCTGGAGCCATAGGCAATCGGCTTTGAGGAGGTTTCGATACATTTATCTATGATAAAAATGCCTTTGATAGAGATTGTATTTTTTATATACAAGTAAATACAGTATGTATTTACGTGCCATATTGGCTTGAATGCAAGATGGTTTTACGTATAAGATGATTCAGTATTTCTCAAGGTGTGTTACCAAGAAAAAAAAGGGGGAGGGGCATGGTTGCGCCTCACATATCCCAGAACATACATTGAGATTTTGATACATTGAAAACTGTTCTACAAGAAAAATAATTAAATGATCAATGTAAATGTCAACCCATCTTAAGTTTGATCTAAGCAAATATGTAATTGGACAAATATTAAATTGACTTCATATATTTTTTAAGTGTTAGGCTGTGCATATGAGTTTAACGCATTGTTTCACATTCGGAACAATACAGCATATGATACAGCTGAATGTGATGACGTTCTTTATCTTTAAAATTTGGAACTACGCAATGTTGTATATCAATTTAATTAAAACATTTAGGAGTTTCATTTATTATTTCCCACCGAGAGTTTGATATTACTTTTTACAAAGGAGAGTATTAAAATATATAAATCTATGCATAAAGAAATACCTATTTATTCCATGCAATGTGAGACTACGTAATATAATATATTTGAAAATCGATGTTCCTTTAGGAATGTCAGTGATTATATACAAGAACGGCTGGTATCTGTAAAACGTTGCACATCAACATCAATAGAAATTTAGGTACTAATGGTTCTGAAATGCTCTGGAAATGTGCCAACAGTGCAGCAAGTATGTAAGGGCTTTATAAACTGTTTACTATGTCGCTGGAAAGAGATGCATTTGGCTAAAATTCCTAAGGTGCAAGAGTTTGCAATGGTAAGACATCTTTTGATATTTGCTCTACATTTACTTGGTAGATGGAATGTATTGTTGTTGGGAAATTTTGTTAGGCGTTGATAAAAGGCGATTGCTTGTCGATATATGACACCGTCAACGAATATATGTCCGTTGTCGTTCTTTTATTGCCATTTCCGTTGTTGCTATACTATTGTAATGGTGAATCTGACAAATAAATTGGATTATGCTACCACCTCTCTAGCGTGCGGAAGGGAATTTTGGCTGAACGGTACGAAGTGTTATATCACAATCCCAGCGTTGTTTTCACTTCCCTGATAAAATTATGATTTCTCAAACCTGGATGTTGCTTTTCCTCAATACACAGGGCTAGTTTCTTGACATGGGAATAATCTCATGATTTAAATGCGATATCAAATGCTCTAGTAATGAAATCTTGAACTATGCTAAATATTTTTATGCGATGAACCTTGTTTGATACTTATAAAGTCATATC